GAGGGTGAATGTGTCCTCAAATGAGTTTCATTAGGGCTGTTTCTGGAGCACGAGTGAGTATGTAGGAGTGGCTAAGCCACTGAAGACTCTCATCCTCCTCATTAACTGTTGAAGGAGCTGCGGGCCGCTTCCTGCCTCCCAGCTCCCACACGGCTAGCTTTACCCAAAATAATTACACAGAAACTATATTCTTGTAAACACTGCTTGGCCCATTAGCTCTAGCCTCTTACTGGCTAATTCTCACATCTTGATTAACCCATTTCTAATAATCTGTGTAGCACCACGAGGTAGTGGCTTACCAGGAAGGAGAGGAGAGCTATAGCATGTGCCTCAGTGCCTTCTTCCTCCCAGCATTCTGTTCGGTCTACTCCACCTATCTAAATTCTGACCTATAAGGCCAAGCAGTTTTCTTTATTAATTAACCAATGAAACAACAGATAGATAGAAGACCCACCTACATCAATTAATTGTGTCTAGATACTCAGAGAGAGAGGTAGGGCTGATTTTTAAAGTATTTTAAGTAACCTGTATCTAATTGTTGGTAGCTTTTCTTGAATGTTTATAACAACTTCTGGATTTGTCATTGCTTTTTAGATGTTAAAGCACAACTCAAACCTAGCTACTCCACTGGAGGTTAAAGCAAAGCCACCCAGGAAAGGCTTCCTTAAGTATGAGGGGCAGAGCGTCCGGGGAGGTGCCAACAAGGAAAACTGGTGACAGTGAGTAAGATGCCATGGCAGAACGAGCCTATGTTACCTGAGACTGAAAAATAGGGCACGAATGGAAGTAGCGGTTTCCCTTTTCATTTGCATTGCCCCGGAGGCCTAACAGCCTGGCTCAATCTGAGCATGGAACTGGCCCATGTTCTCACATCCCGAATTAGCTAGTCTGTTTGTGTGGTACTGAGTCCATTCCCTTTTTATATTTTTTTTTATTATTAATTCTTGAAATAGCATTTTACTGTATAGCCTTGGCTGGCCTGGAACTTGCTACATAGACCAGGCTGGCTTCAAATCACACATCTGCCTACCTGCTTCAAATTCTGCCACCATCCTCTTTTCTTTTAAAAAATATAGTGTTTTATGAGATTAAAGGCATGCATCACTAACCGCCCAGCAAATTTTAAAAGTTTTTTAAGAAATTAAGTCTTAGGAAAACCTGGGATGTTTTGAGAATTATATTTATCATTTGAGGGAGATTAATCGAGAACTTAACTGATTTTTAACACATATTTTATTCAGTACTTTTTATATCATCACAGAAGATACTAGCCTAGCCTGTTAGAAAAGTACAATATGTATAGTCTACTTATAGGTTATATTGCCTTATTAGCTGTTTTGAAGTGCTTGGAAACCTGAAAGAAAATTATTTGCAATTAATTCACAGTTAATAAGCATTTTAAAAGTTTAATTTGGTTACTCAATGAAGTTGAAATTTTAATGTTAATCTTTAATCTGTCCTAAGAATTTTTTATGAGATGCATACACCCCAGTCTAGTTTTGTGCTTTAGTGTGAGCCGACAGATGTGCAGCAAGTGTTCTGAGTCAAGAACCTAGGCAGGTTTTAGGCCAGTGTCATACTGGCTAGTCTTAATTTTCGTGAGTATAGACTTGAGAATAAATGTTACATTTGTGAGATTGGTATCTCTAGAACTTCATAAATTACTCTTTTTCTTCAGACTGAAGGAAGAATGACAAATAAAATTTAGAGTAATGGGGTATGAGTGTGTAGTTTTGCACGTTTAAAAAATAAGTCATGAAATAAATTACTAAGTACTCCTAGATACATTGGAAGAATAAAGTTAAGTTCTTCAGCTACATTTAATAGTGTCTTAAGTTCATCTTGTTAAGTTTGACAGGTTTTTTAAAAAAAAATTAATAAAAAAAAATTTAGTGTGTGTGTGTGTTTGTGGAATACTTAGCTACTATGTTGCCTTATGTCCTGATGTCTCTTAATTGTCCTTACTTGATTTTATTTGTTTCTGTTTATAGGAATTCTAGTGTGAATACTTCCAATACAGAAGCTGGACAGAAATACAGAAATGGGGAAGCAAGCTGGACTCAAGTTCTTCTCAAATTTTTCTATTAGAAATTTTAGCACAGACCTGTGGAGGAGGAAGGAGGGCTCACTGCTGTCAGTCTTTTTTCTTTTCTTCCAGTTTTTCACTGTTTTTATTCTTCCACGATTGTTTCTGTTCCACCACACTGTGTTGGCCTCTCCACCCAGCAGATCTGAACTTCATTCTGTCTGGAAGATTCTGAAACCAGGAGTCATGGGAACATCTTGATTCTAGAACTATCTAAGATACTTCTGATCCAAGAACAGCTAGAAAGTAATCTGTTAAGTTCATGATAGTGCTTTTGGGAGAGTTTTGCTTTGTTGCCAGTAGGGGGATGAGGAGCTTGTATTCTGTAGTGACCAGCTAAAATTTTGAGACAAATTAGCAAATACCGTAAGGTACTTAATGGGCTTAGGGAATCCCCCCCCCCTTTTTTTAACTACCCCTTTCCGCGAGACAGAGTTTCTCTGGTAGCCCTGACTGTCCTGTGTCCAGGAACTCACTTCCTGTATTCGCCTGCCTCTGCTCCTGAGTGCTGGACTAAAGGAGTGCGTCACCACCTCCCAGCAGCTTTAGGAAATATTTTGTGACATAAAGATTATTTTAATTATGCATTGAAAATTAAGTGGAGAATTCCAGAATTCTAAGTGCTTGTATGATTTTTTGTTGCATAATATGAAATAAATAATTTTCTCTTTTTTTTTTTTTTTTTTTTTTCCGAGACAGGGTTTCTCCATAGCTTTTGGTTCCTGTCCTGGAACTAGTTCTTGTAGACCAGGTTGGCCTCGAACTCACAGAGATCTGCCTGCCTCTGCCTCCCCAGTGCTGGGATTAAAGGCGTGCGCAACCACCGCCCGGCTAAAATAAATAATTTTCAAAGTCAACTCTAGCCCACCTTTTCACACCATGGCATTTGCCTTACACTACTGGCTGGGACTGCGGGAGGAGTGAAGAGCTGAAGAGCACTGGGGACAGGGCTCCTTCTGCCCTTAGAGTGCTATTTGCTGTTTCTCCTGCAGAGGACCCCATCTGATTCCAGGTACCTGAGTTCACAGCCATCCCTAACCCCCGTGCCCTATTCTGACTTCCAGGGCACCAAGCACACACAGATGTGGTACACATACTACATGCAAGCAAAACACACATAAAATATGTTGAGTAAATCTAATATTTAAAGAAGCAGGAAGAGGGGAGTGTTGTACAGAGGTGGGGAAGAGGCTGGTGACACAGGAAGGAGTGTTTTAGGCCGTGCATTCATTTCTTTCAGTGCTGCTGAGAATACGGAGGCTGAGGCTGTTAGGTTTGCCAAAGTTGATGTCAACCAATTTTAGACATGAAGTTTGGAACTGACTGAAGAAGAGCAGAGGGGAGGGAGTAGAGAGCAGGTTAGGCAGCTCTTTGGAATTTTGCTAAAGACAGCTACTAAATGGGAAAGACAAGGTTAGTGGTGGGCTTGGGCTTGGGCTCTGCTCGTTTTGATCTTGGATCCTCAGATTGTACAAATTTTGTTTCCCTGAGCCTCACCCTCAGCACTTCCCTACTATCCCTAGCTTGTCACTTAGAATGGTGCTTCCAGCTCACCAAGCTATATATGCCATGGTCTTCCCAGGGTGTTTTCCACTATTCTTTAAATGAGAGCCAAGATTTTTACTATGGCATAGGTGACCGCTCCCTGCAATGTGTGGCTTAGCCACACCAGTCTTCAGCTTCCTGCCTTGGGTCTTAGAAATTGGCTGCTCTGCCTAGAATTTTTTTCTGCCTACTCTGCTTCATTCTTTACAGTCTTCCAGCAGTTGACAGTTATTGTTTGCCTCTTTCTCTACACTTAATGGATTGCCAGGCAGTGGTGGCACATGCCTTCAATCCCAGCACTCAGAAGGCAGAGACAGGGGGAGCTCTCTCAGTAAGTTCGAGGCCAGTCTGGTCTACAAAGTGAGTTCCAGGACAACCAGAGATAACACAGGAAACCCTGTCTTGAAAAAATAACAAAAAACAAAAAAGAACTTACAGCTCAACCAAGTAGCATTGCACTCTCTGACCCAGTGCTAGGTGGAATGTGCAGAGGCACACCTGGAGCCATCCAGGGTGAGTCTACCTGGACTTCCCATAAACCTGTGTGCTACACTACTTGGAGTTTGTGATTGTACACAATGAAGAGTAGTGGAGGACTGGTCCCAGATCCCAGCCCAGCTGGTGGTGCATTATCTGTCACACCAAGCAGAACTTGTTCTGTATATGCAAGTATAAACTCATGTTCATCTCCACATGAGCTACTCGCTGAATCCTTGCTTGTTAACTGTCAGTTTCGACTCTAAATGCTATGTTTATAATTCTATATAATTCTTACATAAGTTAGGTTAAATGGCATTTCAGATGAGGAAACTGAGGCATTTTCCTCATATCCTGTTTTATACTGTTTGCAAAACTCTAATCTCTAAAATCTGGGATGTTCTCAGCTACGTACCTAGGTTATGTACTCTGACATGTCTACTTCTTTGCCTTCAACTCTTGACTACGGGTGAAAGCCTGGGGTGTAACTCAGTGGCAGTGCTTGCTTGCCTAACATGAAGGACCTTGCATTGGAATCCTAGCACCACAAAAACATTGTGCACTGTGGCCCTTCTTGGAGATGGAGAAGCTCACACAATCTCCAGAATTGTACCACGTACTTTCAGCAATTATCTTTTTCATGACATTTTTTTCTTCCTTACATTTTTTTAAGGATCTGTCTCTTTGTATTTAAGTCACCTGTTGTCACTGCTGGAAAACTTGAGTGGAGCAAATCAGAAACAGCAAGTTTTTTTTCCTAGTTTCTGATTACTATCTGAAAGTTCACCTCGTTCATTCAAATTATTTTAGTTGGGAACAACCAATAGCAGGACAGTGGGGTGTTCAAGGTCATCCTTAACTAGAGAGCTGCAGGACTACAGTAGAGACACCATCTTAAAAACGGCTTTTATTTAATTTAGTTGCTGTACATGAAGTTTCCTTGGAAGTGGTGAAAAGCTGCTGAACAGGGTTAGGACATCTCAGCAACCTACAGTGCAGAGCAGAAGGACAGGCGGTCCTTCCCTCTTTGGAAACAATCAACAGCTGTGTGCCAAGCTCTGGGTTGCGCATGCTGGATAGTGGCACACCCCTTTAATTACAGCACTCGGGAGGCAGAGGCAGGTGGATCCATGAGAAACCAAAAAGTATCACCACAGGACCTTTCCAGGTGAACTGCTAAAGTGACTGAAATGTTTGGTATTAAAAATGCTCTTTGTACTAGGTGTGGTCCCACATGCCTTTGACCCGGTGTAGAAAGCAGAGGCAGGTCATTTCTCCAAATTCTAGGCCAGTCTGGTCCACACAGTGAGACCCCGTCTCAAAACCAAGGGTCAGAGAGAGAACTTGTTGCTTTTACAGAGAACTCCTCTTAGTTCCTGGCATCCACATGCAGACTCACAACCAGTTGTCCACAATTGACACAACCCCCTGACCTCTGAAAGGATCATTCATACATGTGGTGCACATATTTGTAGGCAAACACCCATATACATAAAATAACGAAATTGTTAAGATGCACTTGGGGCTAGTGAGGTGGCTCGGTGGGTAAAGTTGCCTGCTGCCCTGAGTGACAACCTCGGGACTCAACGGTGGAAGCAGAGAACCAGCTCCCAACGTTGTCCTAGTTCACGCTCCCCTTCCTCCAGATAAATGTCATTTTATTTTGATCTTAGGTTTTAGCTTAGTGCCCCTAGGAATTTCCTTATTTGGGGGGAAAAAAATCTGGGATTTTTAGTCTTCAGAGAATGGTTACCTGGACAACATTAATCCCAATGCAATAAATACTTTGAGAAGTTTATTTCATTGCCAACCCTATGAAATCATAGCCATCGGGAGGTGTTTATGACAACAAACCCAACAGGCAGTCATTCTGCTCTCTTAACCACCTTGAAAGTGGAAACTACCATAAACTTTTAAGATTGGAGTTTCTAATTGTGTATGAATTCAATAAAGCAGGGTCAGATATTCCAAATGCCTGCCTTGAACTCAAGCAGGCACAGCCTTACCCGTGGACAGGAGTCAATCACTGCACCTCAGCTGTGGAGGTTTTGAGACGGTACCTGGCACAGCTAAGCAGTAGGACAAGCCCAGCTCTGTGTCAGTGAGTAACTAGCTCTCCCTCCTCACTTGCCCTTTACACGCGTGCCAGCACGCACATCGACACACCTGGTACTGCAACAAATGCCACCTAGTCCATGACTCACCTGCTCAGCCATCTCAGCTGCCCTGCAGGCACTAGGTTTCGCAGTTCTCCCGCACTTCACAGGACCTGCTTCCTTTCTCCCTCCACTCTCAGCTCTTGAAGGTAGCTCACTGTAGCCTAGACCGAGTCATTTCCTCTCTCCACTACATGCATGCTTGATGCTGAGGTCAAGAGAAGGGCTCTCATCCTCTAGGACTGGAGTTAGAATGTGAGCCATCACGGAGATGCTGGGAATAGGACCTGGGTCCTCTGCAAGAGCAACAAGTTTTCTTAACCAAAGTCATCTCTCCAGCTCTCATCACCTATGTGAGACAAACTTTTCCAACACAAGATAGCTTCTTCAATTCGTCTTAGGCCTCTAGTCTAAGGTCACAAACATACTGCACCATTTTATACAAACTCCATGGCTTTCTTGTTCTGCCTCTTTAGGGCTTAAAATGCCCTCTGCCGCATAATAAAAATCCATGAGTTGAGATTGCTCCCACGTCACCACTAACTTTCACAAATGGGCTAATTGCACACATGTATTTCGCAATAGTTTTACACAGAATGCTAAGAGCACTTTTCTTTGTATTTTACAGAAGGGTTTAAGACATACATTTTCTTTAATATACCAAAGTACATCCAACTCTAATTCCTAAATAAATGTGTTACAATTTGCTTAAAATTTAAAGGCTTAATGGCAAGGTTCAAGGGAGGAAAAGATTAAGTAAGTTTATTTTACAAACTGGCTGAAAAATAACTTCAAGAAAGTCAATAGAATTTAGTACGGTCTCATCCGTCCTGAAGGAGGGGCCCGATTTGGAGGAGTGATGGCTATGTCCAGATAATCCCCTATTTGGAACTTCTGTGACTGCAGGGTCATGGAGTCATCAGTGCCCTTCCTGCCAGACATGGTGCTGCCAATCTCCTTAACTCTGTTGGAAAGGAAGTCAACTGTTAATAGACTAGAAATGCATCAGCAAACAGTACAGACTACAGAGAACAGGGAATGATCTATACATAACAAATTTCCAGAATGTAAGCACTTGAGCTCTGAATATAAACTGATGGGCACCACCACTGGCACTAAGGAGATTATCCCAAAGCCAGGCCTGGCGGCTTATGATGTAATTCCAACACTGGAGCCTGAGACAGACTGAGAACGTCCTCTTGACAGAGACGTGGGGGGGAGGGGGGAAATTCTTGCAAAGTCCAGAGATTACAGAAATTAAAGTAACAAGTCACCTACCGATATCCAGGTCTTTTAAGATCCATAAAAACAATTGCAAAATTGAAGTGTGTGCCCTTCTTTCTGGCTTCTGGGTAGACTTCCTTTACTAAACTAGTCAGTTCTTTCAGGGTTGCATCCATCCTAATTTTTTTGAAAAGATGATTGATAAACATTAGTATAACAAGGGCATAAAACCAGCACATAGTACATTCTCAAGTCATACTCCAGGGCCCTTGCACTATGATTTACTGCAAGATGGCTGGCATGGAAAAGGCAATTTGCTGCACAGTCCTGGCTACCTGTGTCAACCCAAGTGAAGGTCAGGAGAGAACCAATTCCACAGCTGTCCTCTGACCTCTTCAAGCATTTCGTGCAATATGCACAAATACACATTAAATAATAAATTAATTTGCCTCTGAATATATCCTGTGTTGTCCTCAATGCTAAAAACATCAATAAATTAATCTTGCTACAAGAGATTAAAGAGACTCCCACATAACTCTTCTGAGGCTACATAACAATATCTGGCTCAGTGATATACTTACCTACAAGAAAAACCAGTCAAAGTTATTCAACTACACAAACTGTCTAATTTCTAAGATAAATAATCTCTCATACATTACAGCCCCTAAAATCGGAATGCATCTTAGAATCAATGGGCAGGGACAGCATCTTCATAGGATATACAATTTCTCGTTCTCTCATAGAAATGATGGAGGCAGAAGATGGCTTAACAGGTAAAGGTGCTTGCTGCCAAGCCTGATGACCTGAATTCGATCCAAGGAACCCACATCATGGAAAGACAGATGTAACTCCCACAACCTGCCCTCTGACCTCCACACACGTACCATGACACCCCATATGCCACATATATACGCAAAAGTGTAATGAAAATCTGCCAGTGAGATGCTCAGTAGGTAAAGGCACTTGCTGCACAAGCCTGCTGTCCTGGGTTCAATCCCCAGAATTCTCAAGTAAATGTGGAGAGAATATATTCCAAAAGTTGCCCTCAGACTTCTACAAATGTTGTAGTACTTGCACACTGCACAACACAAAATAATAAAAAATGATTTTTTAAAGTCAAGGACATAGCCGGGCAATGGTGGCGCACGCCTTTAATCCCAGCACTCGGGAGGCAGAGGCAGGCGGATCTCTGTGAGTTCAAGACCAGCCTGGTCTACAGAGCTAGTTCCAGGACAGGCTCCAAAGCCACAGAGAAACCCTGTCTTGAAAAAACAAACAAAAAAAAAATAAAGTCAAGGACATGAAACTTTAAGATAAACTATAGGCTCCTTTCTGCTAGTCTGATTAAAATAACCCACTCATTTAGCTGCCCCAGCTTGCCCTAATTAAGGCTTTCCATTCTAGCTCTTAAACACAGATGAAAATCCGTTACCCACCATGTTCAGCTGTGCTGAGTTCTACACCCTCAGCTCCAATCTATAAATGCTGTGGAGTGCCACCTGTTGTCACCTCTAGGGGAGGGTCTCCTGCATACAGTATAGCACAGGATGCCAATGCCTGGCATCTTTTAAGTCCCAGCCTGTCATCAAGATAATGAGTGACTTGTAGGTGTCAGTCACCAAGAAAGACATTACTTGATTATTATAAATACTTTTCTCATAAAGATACAAGTTAGATCAGCAAAGGCTCCCCCAAGCTGGCATCCTTATCTCACTATAGACATGGTCCACCTGTTTCCTCCCCACTGGGAACAGACAGAGGTGGTCACACTCACGCTTGCACGTGCACACACACTTCAGCGGAATAAAGAAGTATACAAGCCCAGAACAGGGAATTATATTTCTAGAAACAGATTAGAAGGTCTCCCCTATCTTTTCCCATGGGAATGTTCCAGACCAAAGGCCACTTTATGCACTGCAAGAATGCATACATACTGCTTTCTAGAATGCAATGAAATATAGCACAATTCTTACCCATCAAAAAAATAATCACTGTGGCCTCTCTGCACGTTAAAATACAGAATTCAAGAGGGATTTTGGAAAACATTTTATGAGTATTCTACTTGCATATGTTATGTGCACCATGTGTGTGCCTAATGTCTGTGTGAGCCAGAGGAGTGCACTGGATGACCCTAGAGCTGGGGTTAGAGGCTGCTGTGAGCTCCCAACACGGGTGCGGGAACTGAACTCTGGCCCCGTGTGCACTATTATCCACTCAGCTCTCTCTTCAGAACCTAAAAAACCTTTTTCTTCTTTTTGAGGCGGGGCTTCTCTGTGTAACAGCCCTGGCTGTTCTGCTGTTCTAGAATTCACTGCTGTCCTGGTCAGTTGTAGACCAGGTTGGCCTCAAACTCAATTAGCCTGCATCTGCCTCTCAAGTGCAGGGATTAAATAAAGGTGGGCACCACCACTGCCAAGGGTTGGGGACAGGGTGCTGAAGAGCTGGCTCAGCAGTTAAGAGCACCTGATGCTTCGGCAAAGCCCTTGTTCCAATTCCCAGCACTAACAGGGCAGCTTACAACCCCATGTAACTAACTCCAGGGATCCTACCCCACTTCTACGCTCAGTGGGCACCAGGCATTCATATGGTGCACACAAATACATGCAGGTAAAACACCCATATACGTAAAAATAAATTAAAAACTGAAAGATAGCATACTGAAACTATGACACAAAAATATGTAGTTCATGCCGGGTGCTCTGCACATGAAGTCTTATTTTCTCAGAAGAGCTGCACAGAGACTGTGTAGTCAGAGTTGTAAAACTTCAGATGGAAAGACTCTCACTGTGACCTTATGGAAAATTTTGCAGTTGAATTTTACTTTCTCAGAATTCATATTCTATTCTTCAATTAACTCTGAAAATTGAAATTTTGCCTCCAGTGAACTTCAAGGCTGGCATAAACTATGAGGTGAGATAACTAATTTTCTTTTGTTTGGAGGCAACTTTCTAAAACTTAACTAGGCTCTATGAGTCTGAGTGGGCCTGAATTACCAGCCGGAAGTCGTAAGGATAAACTGAAGGATGCATACAGCTTCCAAGTAAAAAAACACTGCGTTCCTTTTCTGTTGACACCCACGTGGTTCTCGAACAATCTCGAACAATACAGAGAGGTGACCTCTGAAAAGCTGCGCTCTGTGCAGAAAGGCAGTTCGTTACAAGCTCAGGGTGTAAGGAAAGTACTGACAAATTTGAAATCTTAGTCGTTGGGAAGACATACGGAATTTTAATATTTGGAAAGTGGCTTACATTAAGCCATTACTGAATATTTCTTCAATCACTACCTTTTGTTTTTGGGGGTGTGCGTTTGAGATGGGGTCTCTGTGTAGCCCTGGCTGTGGGCTTCACCATGTAGACCAGGCTGGCCTCAAACACAGATCCACCAGTTACAAGAAATTACTGTTTGCATAACAGGTACAGAGTTTCTAGTTGTGATGTGTGTGAAAAGATTTTAAAAGTGGAGCACAGCTTTCAAAAGTCACAGAGGCAAATTTCTGGTTACATTTTGCGACAACAAAAATATATTAAAATTAGCTTTTACTGCTTTCCAAAACCCATTACGATGTTAACCCGACACAAAGCTTGTACGGTCCTAGCTGAGTGCACAGCCGTCTTCACTGAACCACCACCAAACGTTTTCACACCGAGTGCCAGAGCAGAAAGGACTCGGGTTTGCCGGTGCTGCGATACTTGAGGCTTCTCGGTGTCAACGCTCTGAGCACAGCTCGCAGCACCCAACTCCGGATAGTCTCCCATCTCGCCGTGGCATTTTAAACGACCTATGTGTTTCTGTACCCGGTAGCCATATGGCGGGAGCCGGGCCGGTCAGTCCGTTCCACCCTACCGTTTCCTCATCGCTCCCTAGAGCCTTCCGAGGAGGGTAAGCCCGCGTCCCTGCCGGGGGAGAGAGAGCCCGGTCCCCCCGGGGCGCAGCCCGCCAGGCCCCAGTCCCGCGCGGCTCACCAGGTGTAGATCTGCAGCTCGCTCGAGGGCACGTTCCCGCGGGAGAACTCGTCCATGCGGTGGTGGCGGCCGTTGTTGGTGGTGAAGACCCGCAGCAGGAGCGGGCAGGTCTGGTGAGAGGCGGGGAGTCAGCCCCGGCCGCGCCGCTTGGCCTTCCCGCCCACCCGCAGGCAGGCCGCGACCGCCCGCCCGTCCGCCCGCCTCAGCCCCGCAGCGGCCCGCCGCCCACACCTTCTCGCGGTCGATCGGCTTCTCGGGCTCCTTCTTAATCTCCTCCTGGGTAACGCGCGATTCCACCGCCATCTTCCTCCTTCGGCCCGGGAGACGCTCGCCCTGACCTCCGACCCCTGCAGCGAGCATGAGCTACTCGTTTCTCGCGAGGAAAGGAGCGAGGTTTTATAGCGGGCGACTGGCAGGGCGGGGCGTCAGTCGGCGCAGGCGCACTTCCCTGTGAGTGTAGCTTGGGCGCGCCTGCGTGTTACCCTGGGGAGGAGGGCGGTACACACGCATGCGCGGCGATCTGCGCGCTGTCTCTAGGAAAGTTGTCTCTTAGTCTCTTAGTTGTTTTCTTTACGGGTCTGTCCACAGCCCAAGACAGCTTAACGTGGCATTTACATACGCAGTGATGAAAATATGTAGAGAACACGAAAATCTTAAGAACATTCAGGTAAGATGTTAAAAAAATATGAGCAAGGTACTGACGTTGGTGATAAAAGGGGCCAGGACCCCTAAAGTAGACAGGTACTGCAAGGCCAGCAGAGAAATGCTTTTTCTGTAGGAGGTGGTGAAAGCGTCTGTACTGGGGAAGGGAATGAACACACAAAATTCAAGTCAATTAGGCCCGGCAGTGGTGGGTCCATGCCTTCAACTCGGAGGCAGAGTCAAGCGAAGCTCTGTGAGTTCGAGGTCAGCCTGGCCTGCACAGTGAGTGCCCGCCAGGACAGCTAGGGCTCCGTAGAGAGACCATGTCTCAAAAACAATACGAAACTCCAAAAGCAAACAAAAAGAATGAATCAAAACCCGGAATGAAGATTAGGAGGAAGTGTGGTGGCTGAGTACTCAGCTAGAACCTAGGAGGGAGGCCCTGGGTTCAAACCCAGCGCTCGCACTCTATTAGCCTCTGGAGTCACAGACCTTATAAAAATCGAGCTCTCTCTCTCTCTCTCTCTCTCTCTCTCTCTCTCTCTCTCTCTCTCTCGTGTGTGCCACCACCGCCCCGCTGAGTAATTTTTGAGTAACATTTCAAAGTTCCTTTCTTTCCTTTGTTGGCTTTTTGTTTTGTTTATTTTTTGAGACAGAGTTGTCCTGTGTAGCCCTGGCTACTACCTTGAACTTGCTCTGTAGATGAAGCTAGCCTTGAACAGAAATCCACCTGCCTCTGCCTCCCAAGTGCCAGGATTGAAGTGTGCGCTATCATATCTAGTTTATTATATTAATGGTGTGTTTAAGCTGTGAGTGAGCATACACCTGTGATACCAGCAGTTAGGAAGCTAATATAGAAAGATTGCTATGAATTTAAGGCCAACCTGGGATAAGAGTGACCCTGTCCAAAAAGGAGGAGGAGTGGTGGCCAGCTCAGTGGTTAAGGCACCTGCAAGCAAGTCTGACAGCCGAAGTTCAAGATCATCCCTAGGACCCATGGAAGAGGAGAGAGAACTCCCACAGAAGTGTCCTCCCTCCCTCTCTCTCTCTCTCTCTCTCTCTCTGTCTCTCTCTCTCTCTCTCTCTCTCACACACACACACTAAATGTAATTGAAAAAAGGAATAAAAGCATTTTTATCGTGTTTGCACCTGTGTCAAACACTATACTATTACCAAAACAGTTCCACCAATGTAGAGAATAGTATCTTATGGTTTTATGAGGACATCTGAGGGTAAGAATAACTGTGTGTGTGTGTGTGTGTGTGTGTGTGTGTGTGTGATGAGTATTATTCTAGTAGACAGATGTTAATTGATCAAAAGAGAAGCAGTCAAGAGGCTGGGATTCTGACCAGTTTGTAGAGTTGCTTCTCGGCATTTTGATGTCTCCTCATACCTTTGGAAATTGCTTCTCCTACCCAAGACTCAATATTATAGTCACAAGTCTCAATGTTCATTGTATACAGAATCTATTCATCCATTGGTGCTGATCTAACCTTTAAAGGCACAAGCATCTTTTTTCATTCTAAGTTGGCATTTTCAAAAGCCAGAGATTCTATAAGTACTTTACTAGCTTCTGGGTCTGTTACTCCTATTTGTATAGTCTTAGTTAATCTTTGTAAAAAATCACTAAAGGGTTCTCTCTGGCCCTGTTTAACCCTGGTATATGATTCAATTTGTTTTTCTAGTTCTTGAATCCTTTCCCAAGCATTTAAGGCTGCTTTGTGGCATAGGGACAAGATTTGTTCATTGTAAAGAACTTGAGCCTGTGGGTCAGCATAATTGCCTTCACCAGGAATTTTATTTTGGGAAGCCTCAAGTCCCTTTGTTTTTCCCTGTTGTTTTAAAATTTTTGCCTCTTCTTGCTAATAGCATTTCCACAGTAGATTTAGCCCATCTTTGAGGACCACTGAAACTAATTGAAGCCAATCATGTGGGGTTTCTTTATTCCTGGAAGCCCACGTCTTTACCATTTCCCTAACAAATGTGGAATGCAAGCCATAAGATAAGATGCTACTGCTTGCTAATGTCTTTCAGATCTTTCATACCTATAGGCATTCATCTACCTTCATTGGATCCCTTTGGACATTTAGAACTTGATGATTTTTCAAAGTTGACTACAGAGTAGGAAGCTAAAACCCTGCATTAGTCATCTCTGACTCTGACAGGTACTGGCAATGTTGAATCCTGTCCTTGGACCTTCTGTCATCTCTGACTCTGACAGGCACTGGCGATGTTGAATCCTGTCCTTGGACCTTCTTTCCCTGCTCATCAGCTCCAATAATTTCCGCAAGTTTTTCAAATCTTTTTATTAATATATTTTGTAAAGCATGAATCTCTTGACCTGTATGTATTTCTAGAGATTTCATTGAGGTTCCTAGAGAGATCCTCTATCTGTGCTAACCTATCATAACTTTAACAGACTTTGGTTGTCAAATTCCAGAGTGTGACTTCTTTCAGATATTTTTTCAGTACCCTTTGACATGGATTGAATTTTGCCTGTCAAATTAATGTTACTCTTTTTGGTAGTATTAATTTTTTCAGATAACTTGATTTTTGTGGTATTAATCCTGTCAGCTAGCTGTTCATTATTAGTCGGTAAAGACTGTATCATTTCTAAAAGTTCTGTGGTACCAGACAGTGCTTTTTGCACATTAGACAGGGTGTGGATTTTCATTAGCCTCTGCCATCCGGTTAACTGTCAAATTTTTGGTTTTTTAAAAATGCATTTAAGATAAGATTCAGCAGGCAGGTCATGTTCATTTTTAAATGATATTTAAATTCCTTCTGTTAAATGATTTTAATTGTAAGCCTGTTTTGAAATGTTCATAATAGAAAGATGCAGACACATGAGGGCACTGTTAACCAATCAGTTAAAAAGGAAACTTCTGTAGCTGTGAAAAGGAAGAAACTCAAACCTTTTGTAGTGGCATTCATTTGTATTTTAATAAATAAAGCTTTCCTGAAGATCAGAAAACAGCCACACTGGCCAGCTTTACAAACAAGGCAGAAATGACACACACTTTAATCCCAGTAGGTACAATGACACACACACTTTAATCCCAGTAGCCACCGTGACACACACTTTAATCCCAGTAGGTACAATGACACACACACTTTAATCCCAGTAGCCACCGTGACACACACCTTTTATCTCAGTAGGTACAATGACACACACCTTTAATCCCAGTAGCCACCGTGACACACACTTTAATCCCAGTAGGTACAATGACACACACACTTTAATCCCAGTAGCCACCGTGACACACACTTTAATCCCAGTAGGTACAATGACACACACACTTTAATCCCAGTAGCCACTGTGACACACACTTTTATCTCAGTAGGTACAATGACACACACCTTTAATCCCAGTAGCCACTATCTTGCCACAGAAAACCAGGCAGCAGAGCTGTACACCCTTAGTCCCAGAATTAGAGAGGAATATAAAATGGGAGGAGACAGCTCTCAATCTCAGTCTCCTTCTGAGAATTCCTGGAGGCAGAATCCCCAATTTTGGGTTGAAGTCAAGGTAAGAACCAGTGGCTGGCTGCTTTGGTTTTCTGGTCTTCAGGTTGAACCCCAATATCTGTTTCTGAGTTTTCATTAATCATGCTTCACCTTTTGTTGGGGATATGGGAGAAGAGTTCATTTCCTAGTTACCAGTTCTCCTCGGGGGACTTTTCCAAGTAACCCATTGTTCACTAAAATGGCCTTTCCCAATACCACAAGGCAGTAAATCTGCAGCTGATCTTTAGGGAATTCGTTTCAGGTTATAAAGACTGCTGAGCAAGCTTGGTGACATGAACTCAATCCCTGGAACCCAATAACGGTGGAAAAAAGAGGATGGAATGCACAAAACTGTCCCTTGGCCTCCACACACGTGTGAGCAGGCACAAATACAACAGCAAATCACTTTAGAGAACACTAAGATCACTTTTGGTCTCCTTTATCCACTCCCCAGCCGTGTAGGAGCAGCTCTACACAACAGTCTTCAGGTGTATGCAAACTCTCTCTGTGTATTATCTATTTATTTAGAATTTACACAAGGATGCATTAGGCTTCCGGGTATGTCCTAAGAATTAAAGCAGGGATTTGAGCAGACACTTTGTAAGTGTGCACAGCAGCATTAGCCACAAGAGTCACTCTAGAAAGTCCCAATAAGGCACGTTCACAGAGGGAAAGGCACGCACGGGCTGGGCGCGGTGATGCTTTAATTCCACAAGGAAGAGGCAGGTGGATCTCTGAGTTTGAGGCCAGCCTGGTCTACAGAGCGAGTTCAAGGACAGTCAGGGCTATACACAGAGAAGCCATATCTAAATAAATAAATAAATAAATAATAAGAAGGAAGGAAGGGAAGGAGGGAGGGAGGGAGGGAGGGAGGGAGGAAGGAAGGAAGGAAGGAAGGACACTGCAGGTTATTTAGTTTTTAAAGGGAATAGCATTCTGGTGCTTGCTACTGCGTGGATGAGCTGTGAAAAGCTGGTAACTGAAGCAACCAGGACAACGAACAAACCCGATTTTACTCACATGGGCACTTGGAATAGTCGGACTCATAACACAGAGAGTAGAATAAAGGTTACCAAGAGCTTGGTGTAGGTGCAGTGGGCCACTGTTGCATCATGAGTAGAGTTTGTGTTTGAGATGATGCTGACTGCTAGATATAGACTGTAGTATTGGTGGTACAACACTGTGAGTCCACTAGATGACACTGAATTACATACCTCCTAGGGGTTAAAATGATCAAGTGAAAT